AATGGATCTCTCTCTCTCACTTTTTGATATTTCGCTAGATTAGATTAAGGAAGACAGATTATCGTTTTAGACAGATTATCGATAATAATAATACCGCGTAAAACTTTCTTCGCTTTAATGTGTTCCAAATAGCGGGCGATCCAACGGAATGTTTTTTACTCATTTGTCCGACTGACTAGATTCAATGAGATATAAAATCGATGAACTTAGAATTTCTCGTCGGAATTCCGGACTATGAGAATCTTGACGGGATCAGAATAATAAGAGTCCCCCGGTATTAAATTAATTCGAGTTCGGGACAAAATGATGGATATAACGATGAAAGAAATTTAAATAGACCAGTAACTTCGTTCGGCGCGTTGCTCGTAAACAATTTATTCCGCGGTTGGTCTCTCTGTCGTTGTAATATTCATCCGTCACTCAAATCACTCTCCGCGACCTCGAAATGTTTTTTGGACGTTTTACATTTCCGAGTAATTTTTTTCTGTAGATCGAATTCGTGTAGCGGCAGAGCCTATATTCCACTTGCCGGGTTAATAATCTGTAGGATCAGTCGAGTATTGACTGAAGACGACGCTCGATCGCCTCTGTTAATGGCGATCGGAAAGTTTCGTACACTATAAACGCGGATCGATACTAACGAGAAGCAATCTCCATCGAAATAATTCGAGGGGGAGAGAAAACGCCGTTGGGGCGTGAGAAGAAAAAAATATAAAAAAGGAGGAAAAGACTCGATGCGGAGAGGCGCGTGCGTGCGTGCGAGCGAGCGACCCTTCGGAAAAAGAAGGGCGAGAGCGGGGGGGGGTGGAAGTCGCAAGGTCGCGCCCCGGGTGTATAACGAGTTCGAACGAGCGGGATCGGATGGCGTCGCGGACCAGATAGACAAAGGCAGACGGAGAAAAATAAAAGGGACAGTACGAACGAGACGGCGTGATCATCCGTCCGGAATTAAATTGGCCGCGGGCGAGATGCTCGTGAGGCCGTGAAATTACCATTTTGAAGCGCTGCAACGCGCTTTGAAAGCCGCCGCCACCACCACCATCGCCACCATCACCACCGTCGTCGCCGCCATCACCACCATCGCCACCATCACCACCTCTTTTTGCCCGCGCGACGTGCTGGTCGCACCGGTCTTCTTATTAGCGGCATTCAAGCCCACGTCCGTCCCTCTGAGAGCCGGATAACAGAAGTCACGATATCGGCGGGATTAACGCCAGCCGATAAGGCGAACTTCGGAGTTTTCGGGAGGAAATCCATGTCGTTGAGAAAATGCGTCCGGGCCGACACGCGATCTTCTGTTTCCTGATTGCGCGCGGGGATGTTTGCTGATTAATATTGAAACACATTGCCGATGAATAACGCGCGATGACGACGGCCAAGAATCGGATAAAGGGGATGCGTGCAGCTGACAAATTCCATCGCGCTTCGGAGATCTCGAGTCAATTGCTAATTAGCGCAAAATTCTCGTTGGTGGGGCGGTAGTAATACAGGAGGTAATTTTTGTGAATTCTCCCGGTCTTGCTGGAAATTTGGACGGACTCGCGTAAGACCTCGCCGAAAGACCGACATTAATTAAGCGCTTTCCTGAAAGAAAAAACTTTCTCGTGGAGCAAGTTACCGCGAGGCCGGGCTTAAGTTCTGAAAGGAGTTACGGTGGCCCGCGAAAAAAAATGGTTTCCGGGGATAAGAGGAGAGAGAAAAAAAGGATGCGCGACGTGGCTTATATTAATGTTGTCGTCCGTGCGCGTGTCTCTTTGCGAACAAAATAACGTGCGCGGACGTTTTTCAAGAAACCCTTCGATAATTCTATAAATTTTGTTCTTGCTTGCCTCTAGCGTACTGGAAAAGTTCAATCTGATTGGATAACTTGGGCGGCGATTTGTACTGTAGACTGCTATAATCTTTTATGATAGGTATAAGCCGCGCGGTGCTACAATAAAGACACCATCTAGCGTGTCTCGTGTGGTTTATCCGAAGCGTACCGTAAAATGGAATTAGATTAGCGAGGCTAACTTTGGTGGTAAGCGAAGATTGCAGTATCCAAGAAAGTACTTTATTCGATTTTCGATAATCAAAGGATTCCCATTACCCAGTCGATTAATCTCCGGCGAGATGCCGCGTTGTCTCAGAACGCGCAGAGAAGGCTCCGTTTCCCAATGTTATTTTATTAATCCTTGCGAAGGTAATGACATTTAACATTCTGCGTCCTCCTCCCTCGATTTTTAAATTTTTAGTAGGATAGGGAAAGCCCTTGGAGAGATGAAGCCGATGTTCTCTAAGTACACTTTAATCCGCTGCCGCAAAGAGTGCTACCCCAAGGATCCGACAAAAAGTGCAAAGTAATACCAAAAGAATAGGGGAGGAGGTGGAGAGAAAAAAGGGTGAGCAACGAGTGTTGGTGGAATGTAAAAGGGATCACGGTGCAAGCAATTCGTTCACGTCAAAACGGTGATATCTTTATGTTATCGAGTACATAACGACCGCGTGCCTTTTATCACGTGTACATATGACCACGTGGTCACGTTGAATTTGCCTCAAAGGTGGTTTCGAGCTCGATTACCACCGCGGCGCGGCAGCGACGAGAGGGGGATTGGGGGAGGGTGCTGAAACCAATTTACGGTACGCGTAATTAGGGCCGTTGCAGCAGAAACGGGAAGAATGGACGGGAAAAAACTCGCCGGCGGAAAAATAGCGCGGATCCTCGTCATTTCGCCACCGCATTCCTCTCGCAGAAAGAATTATTATGCATCGAGGAAGTTGTATATATTTTCTTGCTCGTTTTAACACGATATTATTCTAGATCGTATTTACGGAACTTTATTGGATGATTAATTAATTAGAGTCGATGGCAGTGGTTAAAATTGATTAATTTATTAGTCGTATTATTATTAATGATTATATGTTATTAACAAACATCTTAATTATTAATAATTTCCGTTATAAGTTTCTTAAGTATGAAAATTTTAGAAATTATTTATCGCAATTTGCATAGGAAATTTATGTTTTAAACGAATAATTTATTCGTGCGGTTTCACGGGGAAATATCTGAGAAAATGTAACAGAAAAAGACGAAAAGGGAACATCGAGAGAAAAGACATTCGATAAAATTGTCGTTAACGTCGGACCATGCGATATCGACATCGGCATCAAACTTCCTTTGTTGTGCTTCTTTTCAATTTTATAACAATATTTTAAAACAGTCGACGTCGTCGTAAACTTGAGAGATTCAGATGAAGTGCGATTAAATCTCCGAGATAATTTATTGCTCTTCCGATAAAGGGATGCTACCGGCGCCCGGGGTTCAACACTCCCTCCCCCCTTGCGTAATGTTTGACGAATGCCTCCGAAGTGGTCGCGATCCCTCGATCCTTTTGAGCGCGTAATCTCTTCGCGCTCTACACGAGCATCGAATATCGTAACGCCGAGTTATTCGCATATTGACACGCCTCGCTCTCTCGCAATCCACTCGCCACGAGAACGGCTCTCGAGCGCGGCTACAAAGTGGGACGAGAGAGGGAGGCGGAAAAGCTACGCGAGGGTGGCACGGGACGAGAGAGAGAGAGAGAGAGAGAGAGAGAGAGAGAGAGAGAGAGAGAGAGAGAGAGAGAGAGAGAGAGAGAGAGAGAGAGAGAGAGAGAGAGAGAGAGAGAGTAGAGAGGAGAGAGA